CATGCTATAATTAATTTTTAACTTAACTATACTTAATTTTAATTTTAATCAAAATACATGTGCTAATATATTTAATTTACAACTAATAATCTTAATATTACTTATGTATTATAATTTTAATTATGTTAATAATTTCATAATAATAATTAATATGGTATTTATACTGCATTGGTGACATCCTTTTACTTATTCCATATTGATTATTGGCATTGTTTATTTAATTTTTTATTCAATATTTAATTTAAGACAGAAATTATGAAGATTAGAAAAAACTAAGATTATAAAGTATGTTAAACAAGGAAAGATTGATTATTTAACTTCTCAATACGAAATATGTTTCGCGTTTCATAGTTGGTAGCCTTTGTCTCTCACGCGACATCCATGAACTGGCATAGACAGAGAGAGCGAAGATTTAGAGAAAGATACCATCCAACTGCACACACTATGTTATCTTTTCCATAAAAAATATGGATAAAACTCTCACATAGGAATAGAATGCTAAGTAGAAAAGTCCTCTATTTTGCATTTTTCGCATTAGTTAATAAGTTATTAATTTATGAAAATAACCACGCCCGGCATAATGAAACAAGAGAAGATGTGTTCGCAAGGACGAGTTTGAGTATAACAACGCACTATACTTTATTTTCGCTCTTTTACAACATAGACGCGCGCGTTTGCCATACGATTTTAAATAATTGCATAGTATTTTATTAATTGTATAAATCACAGAATAAAAATAAGACCAAACTCAAGCGGCTGATCGCGAAAAAGTTGAGCTCAATTTCTGACTTTGGAAAAGCAGTGTACGTAAAAATAGATCTGAGCAGCCTGTCAAAGAAACTATTAACCTAGAGAATTTGACAAATATTTTTCCTCTCATTTTCTTATGATTTTGTAAAGTGTATTTTCATGCGTAGAATATATTCTGAGAAGGAAAGGTGTCGCTAAAATCCTGTTTTATTTTTTTTTAACTTCAAAGTTTTTTGATGTTGATAAGTTAAAAAAATGCCGGTTTCGACTCCCGGCCGAGGTAATATTTTTTCGCAATAAGTTTATTACAGTTTTTTAAGATTAATTTGGGGAATTTTGGGGGGATTGTTACATTTCAGATTAATTGCGTTAATGTCGACAACCATATCAACACGTAATTATTATTTCTGAAATTAATTCATTCGTTTGAATAATATATATATTAGTTCAACATCTTAATACTTAGACCATAGCGCTTCGGATTGTAATGTTATTTAAAAAAATGATAATTTAATGATAATTATTACTTATGACTTCACATGCATGTATTTAGCTAATATGTCGAATAGGGGAGACAGCTCCGATGATCTTGACATATATTGTCAAGATCACGACCCTGAGTAACCTCCACCAGGTTTTAGCCGTCGCTCATTATTCATTAAAAAGTTATTAACAAAAGAAGTTTGAAAAATGATGAATCTCTTTTTTAATATATAAAACAAAAAGAGAAGGGTCAATAAAATAGATTTTTGGACCTATCACCGATCAGTCTCAAAGTGCGTCGTTTTATTCTTCTATCTAAGGCTCATAACATCCTGAAATAGTTGTTTTCAAAAATGATTTGATCCGGAGGAATAACCATTTTTAAGTTTCCATTTTACACGGATTTTTGTACCTTAGAGCAAATCAAGATGCGTTTAATATTCTAAATATTGCTCGCACAAGATTAAACTTCCTTAAAAATTGCACATATACAGGGTTGGCCATATTCGACGGAAAGAT